AGAGCAGGAAGTACACTCTTGTTTTTCTGCCCTTGGTGATGTTCACAGCACCTTTCAGCCTGTTCTAGACCGTTAGAGTGCCCTTTAGTATTTAATTTACATAATTATTGTGAACTATGGCATGTCTCTGTAATGGAGACTGCTGATCTTAATGAGTGTCCTGCTGAACACTTTCTGTAGCTCAGGAGAGTTTTTCCTTTCACTTTTGGTCCTTTTCTGTCCAGCCCCTTCAGCTGAGTTTGTTCTCCTAAGAGAGCAATAGTTTGAGATTGTTTTAAAACAGCTTTTTAACCTTGCTGTTCAGTGAACTGTACAGTGATTTACAGCTGTTAGAGTACTTTGCTGTGAAAAGTGGGGCTTAAGAGGAAAAGAATTTGATAGTTTCTGTTCAGTTTTCTGTTCAGTTCTTATTGAATATTGATTGTTATATGAGTGCGGTACAAAGACAACAGGATCAGTTTTATTCGCTGTTCTCCTAGATAAATTACTACTTGATCTTTTTAAGCATGTTTTGATTTTCTCCTAAGTCTTATTTCCAGGTCTTTTTATAACTGTTAGTACCTTCCCTGTGAATACTTTCCCATTTGTCTTTATATATGTGTTCCTGTGAACCAGCAACTTGTAATTGAAGATGCTCAATTCATTCAATATTAATATCTGGGCATCATGTTGAGTATCTCATTACTGTGTTCTGGTCGGCCACTTTGTAAATTACTTACTCAGTCTCAGCTTTTCCTGATCTTTTGCTTATTCTCTCCTACATGACAGGAAAAGACAAAATTATATTTGTGACTAAGGAGGACCATGAGACACCAAGCAGTGCTGAACTGGTTGCAGATGATCCAGATGACCCTTATGAAGAACAAGGTCAGTAGTTGAACAGAATGGAAGTAGAGATTGATACAACATGTATATCATATTCTAACAATGTTAATTCATTTTTAAAGACTGAGAGAGTAGGGCAGTGGTTTCAGCAAATAAACACTTTATTTAGTAAACTTAGAAAACTGTTTAGTAAATATACAGTCAGACTCCTCCCCGTCTTAACTTCTAGATTAGGAAAGCACAAATGACATACTTTCCAAATGTTTTTTCTTTTTCTTTTGGATAGTGTTTCAAAGTCTCCTGTTCACGTACATCAGTTCATGACGTGTTTTAATTAGTAAACAGAAATATCTGGAAAAAAATTGTTTTTTCTTGTGTTAACATACTTAGAGCCATTCTGATTGTCTTTTTTAACTATCTCAAATGACTTAAGTGCCATTTTCAAAGTGGCTGAGGTGAGTTACATGCCACTGTCATTGCTAGTAGTTTGTTGTCTGCCTCTGTGCAGCACAAGTTGCCTAACTTGGTGATCTCTGAGTATCCTACTTAATGTAAATTGTATATATGTGACTTATTCTGTACTGTACAAGTGGCAAAATAATCAGTAATCTTTTAATTTAATGACAGGTAAGTTCAAATTACAGCTTTCAACTATAAGGATCTTGCCTTGAGAAGAGGCAAGTTTCAAGTTTTCAATGACATTTACAGTTCTTACACAGAGCATACCCAACCTGCAAATGAACTAGTTCAGGAGACTTAAGAGATCAGAGTATTTCTGGATGACTGGTAATATTTTGGTTGCACAAAGCATATTTTAGGTTATTTGTAATGATGAAATGTCTTGTTTCCTGTCAGGATTAAGTACATTTTGCCTATATTAATAAAATGTTCTGAATGTCTGTGAATTTATATATCTTTTTTAAATTTCCTTTATACTTATATGCCATTTAGCCTTGTCATTTTGTATGATTTCATTGCTTTCACATCAGCTAAGGCTGAAATTTTCTTAGAAACTGGAAGCAAGTGGCTCTGTGACCCCCAGAGGGCAGTATTTAAGCACGGTTTAGCAGCTGTGTACTGCAAAGGGATGCTTTGTTAGCTGATGTAGTATGTAGTTTTAATTTATGTCATTAAAATAACTTTGTTTTCATAACTTTGTTTTATTAAACATAGCTTCAATTGTACTTACAAGAAGATATTTTTGTCTCTATAATAAAGGATGCGTGCTCCTATTCAGGCTTTGCAATAACCTTCATTGGCTTTTTGACTGTATGGTAGGGTTGACAAGTAGGTAACCTGACAACCTTCAATCTGAGATTAGAAACAATGTTCTTCCCGTCTCTGCTCCCCCCTAAGTCTTCCCCAGGTCCCTATGTCTTATTTCAGGAAGATTTTTATAAGCTACAGTTTAATATCTGACAGAAATTCCTCTATCTCCTGTTTTCAGGGAAGTTGTGTCACTGAGATGCCATGACTAACCTGCCTATTTAATGGAAACAACCTCTGCTTTGGGCTTTAGCATTGTTTTTGTTGTGGCACTGTTGCTTCAGCTGTTGAAAATTTCACAGAGATACTTATAGGCAATAAATTCCAAGTGGTATCTTTTACTGCCTTGACTTGGGTGGAAGATGAAACATGCAAATGGTTTGTGGAAAGCAGTGTCTGAGGAGGCATACCTTGAAAAGTATTTACTTTTATTTGTTTGGTGTGTAGAAATTTAGCAAAATCTGAATTTTTAATTCCTGTCAGATGAATTTTAAATCCATTATTGGTCTGTTAAGTGAAGAGGTAATGATCTCTAATAATCAGATGGCATCATTAAGTTCACAGTTGCTTTTCTGTGCTTTCCTGCTTCCTCTAAAAAACTGGAGACTGCTTGCAAAATAAAGGAGGAAAACCTTTTTTTTTTTTTTTCTAGAAACCACATCTGGAGAGCATACAAAGCCTTAGAGAGTTTATCATTCACTGAACTGTTAAGTCACTTTGTGTGGTGTATGTATGACTAAACAAAGTAGCTTGCTGTTTAGCTAAGTAAATGCATACATGCAAGCTGTGTTGATGTTACATGTGGTCATTCAAAGTCTGCCTGTCTTTCCCCTTATAATCATTCATGGTCTCTCTTTGGGGATCATTAAAGTATTGTATTCTATTAACAAAAGCTGTTGATCTAGCAACTGCATGTGAGTGCATATCGGTCCTGGAACTTAAACAGCTATTTTTGACACAGGATTTTGAGATGAAAGAGTGCCTATCTCAGATCTAACATAATACAGATATATGCTATCAAGATTCAAAATCAATTCTTTTGATGTCTCTGAAGAGGAGTTTCTCTCTTTTCTCTCTTTGACACCCTGTCCCAAGTTGTTCTTTCTCTGGTTGTACATATGCAATGATTATAGTGTACTGTGCAATTTACCTGGGTAATAAGCTAGTAAAAATTAAAGGAACCACTTCCTCCTTGTTTGAATGACTTATTAATTCATTCCTCATATGTGTATTTTGCTAGGTATTGAAAGGCTGTGGTGAAGCATGAAGGTGATAGTTCTTTTTTATTATCAATTCTGTATTTATAGCATGTTAGATCACCTTTCTGAACTGTAGAAGAAAGCCAGAAGCTAGTTACATCAGGGACACCTTACAGTGAAATAACGATATGATTCAGAACAATAAACTCTGTGTTTAAATACTCTAACAAGCTTATTCTTAGCATGTGGTTACTTACTGCCATGTTTTAAGGGCTCCCTGAAAACTTCTCACTTGAACAGTGTCAGGCTGCAGAGCTGCAGATCAGAACAATTCACATGTCACAGAAGGAGCCACATCTAATGGGAGAGAAAATTGTAGGCAGGAAGGACATACGGGCAAAACATTCTAGATTATGTTGAATTGCAGAAGCTCTGACTTGTGGATTTTATTTAAAAGACAATTGGAAGGGAGTTTGTTGTGTATAAAGTCATAGGCAGACTTTTCTTGTTTAGCTTCTACTTTAATAGAATGCTTGACTTCCAGTGTTCAAGTTTTGTGGCATGATCTACAGTCATGCCTCTCCTGATCTTTTCTACTGTACAGTATAGAGTATGGTTATATCTGGAAAAGAATAGATTTATCATGTAGATATGCCATAACCTTATGTCTTCAGTAGTTTAGCATCTGGAATTAACAGACGTTATGAGTCTTTGAGAAGTCTTGTTTTAGTCACTGGACACTCAGGAAAACCTGTGCTCCACCTGCCTTGGGAAAAAATAAAGTTGTATTGTGTTCTCTTTTTTTGATTCTGTGCTATCCGTTATGGGATTTCAGAAGGAAAAACAGGAATATGTAGAGTCACTTTGACCTAAAAGTTGTGAAAGAAAAGAAATGGAAAGGCTGATGAAGTAGGTAGGTTCAAGGTAGCATTTTGAATTGCAGTATATCTCCAAGTATGTTCTAACTGAAGGCCTCATTTCTGGTCTTGTGTGTTGTAGTGGAAGAATTTAAAGTAAAAGACCTCCAGTTTTCATTGCAATCTTCACTTCCATCAATTACATTTTTAAAATTATTTTTTAGATGTATATGAAGAAGGCACTACTGAGATTAGTGCATGAAAAGTGGTTTTTGTTAGCATTACAGGTGTGATGAGGGAGTTGGCTAAAAGTACATACGAAATTGCACCTTAAGCAAAGACAGTTGCTGTCTTCCCTCTCCTGTGTTTGTCCAAAATTATTCTAGTTGTGTTATTTTAGAGATTAAGACTTGAAGTGTTTTCCACAAAGGACTAGTAAAGCAAAAACCCAAATTGTTATAAGAAACAGTTTGATGAATGATCAGATGTACAGAACTGGGGTTTTTTATGACTGATGATGTTCCATTCAATCCTGCTTCCTATGTTTCTGTCCTCTTATGTTGTTGATCCTTGGCACGTAGGATTTTTAGTGGAATATTTGGTATATAACATGGAAGCACCTTTTATCAGTACAATAGTGGGGCTTCATTACAGGAAGTAGAAATATACATATCGACATAAATGCATGTTTCTGGCTTCATCCATGATACCAACAGATCCTAGAAGCTGAGAAAGAATGGGTTGTATGAGGTCAGCAATTAAATGCTAACCCATGCCTCAGTCTCCTATGATGTAAGCAAGTGGGTTTTTTTCCCAGGTGCAAGCACCAATGGATTATGACTCACTGGATCAGTGACATTGAGGCTGCATTTGAAAGAAGTGTAAAAAGGATTAAAGATAGTAATCCTGTTCACTGCAGACATGTGATGTGAATAGATACAATTTACTTTCATACTTTCATTCTAACTGTGTTCTTACCTAAACTGATAGCTTTTTTTTTCTGTTCTGAATTTCCTGCTCAAAAATCTGGGGAAAGATTCTGTGTTAGTGTTCTAGAGTTCATTTAAAACAATGAAAAAGCATTCATCTAGCTTGATTCAAAAGAATTCTAATCTTAATACAGGAATTAAGTTCTTACATTACATGATTTTAAGGCTTGCATGCCTCTCAGACTGAGTCTGGCAAGTGGAAAAAGACTTAATTCAGGCAAAGATATAGGACTATTCTAACTTTTGCTCAATGATGGATCATAACGATCAGAGAGAGAAGTAAACAGTCCAGGAAATGGAAGGTGTTTTGCACTCCTGAAGCTACAGAACTCCTACGGTATTCTTAATACTTCCTAGCAGCTTTCGTTGAATGTAATTAATGTATTGAAAGGAGCACTTAACTTTACTTCTCTCTTTTATTTGTTCAGGATTGATATTGCCCAATGGAGATATCAATTGGAACTGCCCATGTCTGGGTGGAATGGCTAGTGGTCCCTGTGGGGAACAGTTCAAGTCAGCCTTTTCTTGTTTCCACTATAGCACAGAAGAAATAAAGGGATCAGACTGTGTGGACCAATTCCGTGCTATGCAGGAATGCATGCAAAAATACCCAGATCTTTACCCTCAAGAGGATGAAAATGAAGAGGAGAAGTCGAGCAAAGATTTGGAAGCTACTCCTGTGGAAGATTCTGTTGCCAAAGAGGAGAAAGGATCTAGCTAATGAAGATGCAAGGAGGCTGTTGTCTCCATTTCTCATTTTCAGAGATGCGGACTTTTGCAGTATGTCTGTCTTCTGAGTTGTCAAGAAATGTTTCACCATTGTTCTATACACTGTATCATAGTAAATAACTTATTGTGGAAGGAGAAATCTCAGTGTGACAGTCTTGCAAATAAATACTGCAAAAAGCACCAATGTGTGTGTGTGCTGTGTAATCTGTTACCAGACACAGTTAATACTTTATCAGCTGTTTTCACACATCAAGTTCTCCTTGAGTTTCGACTGGAATAATCTCTTTAAATCTATATTGCTGATAACAAAAATCCCATTAGTGTACCAGGTCATTTTCATTTCAGAATGCTCTGATCAGTAGATGTTCTTTTGTAATGTTTTCTGTTCTAATAGAGATCACATTAAATGATTGTTTTTCCTTAATGATTTTTTTTTTTGCCACAATGATACAGGATGTGAAAATGACCTAAACCTAAAATGTGTAAGATTAGATTATGGTTACATTGTACTGTCATCAGGTAAGGTCTGCAAAAACAAAGCAAAACAAAAAAAGAAATGTGTGCTTTCATTTGCTTATTGTGATGGCTTTTAAATTTTGAAAAATACTTGTACAACCATTGATATAAATGAGTGGAAAGAATGCTGATCGTTAGCTTTATTTTTGTCAGTTTGTCAGCACAGTTTTTGTTTTCCCTTAGTTAAAGCCTGCCCCTTCAGTCTTTAGACAGGCTCTTAGAAAATACTTTGAGAATACAATGAAAATGTCACCTGGTGTAATGATCTCAAAACAAATACTGTGACTTAAATACATATTAAAAAAGTAAATACTTTTTACCTTCATTGAATGCTGTTGTTTGTTGTTGTTTTTTAAACTAAGGCTGTTTGTATTTGAGATATTCTACTTCATTGTAAACAGACTGAATGGGTTTGTCTATTGTGAAGATCAATTGCTTGAGTTTTATTCTATTCCCATTCTTTTCTTCTCATACCCCAAGAAAAAGGCATAAAAAAAATGTAAAGCACTGTCAGTAGCTCTATAGAGAAGCTGAACAGCTAATAAACTAAGTGGGAATTACTTTAGAGATGCAAATAATTTAATAGCCATTTACTATAGTTTAATACCTGTGGATAAGGAAGAGCTACATGTTTTTTCTTTCATTGCAATCCTTGGGCTATGAGAGTTACACCACAAAACAAGTTTTCCCAGTGCCTTCAGTATGTGTTTGTTGCACGTTCCCTCAAAGTGTATTCATTAACTTAACCAAAGTATAAAAAGGTGCAGGGCTAGTAAATGGAATAATCTTTAAATGCTTTCCTATATTGATGGGCAGCAGTCCTGAGTGCCCAGAAACATTGCTTCCTTATAATGTTCTGGTATCTTTCTTGGATAAGTTATTTCTGAATGCTTCCAAATGTTTGAGGGAAATTTCTGTTAAATTCTAAAATTTGTATGAACTATTTATATTTTGATACGGCAGATGAATCCTTAAAAAAAAAATTCTAAGAGAGAATTAGGTGACTGACAGCTCTGTTCTGAGGGGATGGATAGCAGGTACTCTCAACATCTCGCCCTTTAAAAGAAACAAAGTGTGACAGAGCTTCTCACCGTGACTCTTCAGTGTGCAGGAAAACAAATGCCAAGTTAACCTGAGTAAATGGGCACAAAAGCAGCAGTGATAAACCTTGGCACAGAGGCAGCTGGACCATGAAAATGAAATCTTAGGCAATCAGATAAACACTGGGCACCAAATACAAAAAAAAAAAAGTCATATGCACTCAAGCTTTTGGTTGTTCAAATGGAAATCCAATGCATTATTTGTGAAGAAGCAAGAACAGTTTGTGAAGGGATACTCTGTTCTAAGAACTGTTTGTCTTCTATTTTTTCTGCTTTGCTTTACTTTCCCACATTGCCTCTATGCTCTGCAAGTTTGAGATTTATCCTCTGTAATGAGTACTTCTAGCATCTGTGTACAAAACATAAAATGCTTGCACTTCAGTAAAAGATTAGGAATTAGAAGGCAGATCATGTGTAAATACATATTTCCACTTCTTTGCTATACCCGTGAAAGTAAGAAAAGAAGATATTTAGTGTGGACTCTGCAGCTGGCCTTGATTGTGCAGTTTTAAGGCCAAGTTGTCTCTCTTGACCATTTTATATCCCTTGAAAGTATTAAAGAATTTGCATAGAAATTTCCTGTCTACCTCTATATCTAGGATTTTTGGTTGTTTGTTTTTATCTTTTTTTTTTTTTTTTTAACTTTGAAGGAAAAAAAACATGAAGGGGAAGAATACATTGTCTGGAATAAGATATATATAGATATTAAAAATATATATATTTTTTGGCATATAAAGTGCATGCATTGGTCTGTGCATTTAATGTAACTCCTTGTTTCTATTATGTTTCCCAACATTACTTTGTAGTTGATATGGTTTTCCTTCTGTAGTCCAATTTGAAGTTTAAAATCAATCAGTGGTTATTTTAGCATGTCACAAAGATGATAGAATGATCCCTAGCAATTTGTGGCAAGCCTGTGAAATAAGCAGATAAGTTTTTTTTTTTTCTTTTTTTTTCTTTTGTATGGATACAAAGCTTTGGAGCTATATAATGATATCTTACTCCAATGTATTTCTTAGTTTTATATAACTGATGTCTTGGTTCTGTCTCCACCATGAGGGAGCTTCTCAATCTTGGGGATGAGTAGTAAATTTAAATGGTTTTGAGAAATCACTTGCATGGAGTTCTAGAGATGTTATACATGCATTACCATGTACTTCTTCTATGTGTCATGTCAAAAAGGCTTCATTGGAGGAAAGCTTTCAGTATAACTGATCTTTATTTAATTCTCTGCCTGTCAGTTGCTTTCTATCTTTTAAGATAAAAACATAAAACATAAAAACAAATGTGTTCATTAATTTTACTTTGCTATGCTATCTCCATTCCAAAGCTCTGGCTTTAACTTGTGTTCAGTAACCTTCCTGCAGATATAACCTTGTTTCAGATATGAAAGTGACCTTTGTTAGCTTTGCCCCCTGCAGTAGCAATACTGTACATAGGGGTGTCAAGAGGGAGATGTATATCTTGCAGTTTATTTTAAGGATGATTACATCTGGCAATCTGGCAGGGATGTGCTGGAAACAAGATCTAGATCCTATCCAGTTCTTACTGAGAATGTCCTTGTTAAGCCTTACAGCAATGTCTCCCGTTCATCTAAGACACTTATCTGATCACATGTCAATGATCTCTTTGAGAAAAGTTGCTATCTAAATGCGTAGAACCTACTTTCTTATTCCTAGGGACGAAAAAAGGGCAGTATATGCTTCTTAGACTCATTTTACCTCTCATTAAAATTCTAACGCTGTTAGTGTGGGACAGTGTACAGAAGCTACCAGCAGTTTGTCATTTATTCTTAATCAGCTCTATTCACTGGACATGACTTCATTTTGTAGAACAGTACTAGCCTGTCTGCTGTTGTGTTTTTTTTAAACTGCTCTTAACCCCTCTGGAGCTGATGTTTTTCCTGACAAGAGAAAAGACCCCCCAGTAAACGAAGAGTGAAGAAATGCAGCAATGATTATAACATTGATGCTGTTGTTCTTTCCCACTAATGCAAGTCTCTACCTAACATTAAGCTGTTTAAAATGTCAAACCATGTGTTTTGTTTTTTGTTGAATTCATAGCTCAAGCATGAAGTTATGAGGTCTTGTTATTCATTGTAGACTAATTCTGACTGTACAAGAGTAAGATGCTAGAGCTCCAGTTCTCCAGCTGAGCATGGAAGAAGTAGAAAAAACTTGTCTCTCAAATGTGGTGTATCTTGATACTATGAAGATCAATAAATAGGTCAAAGACTGCTAAAATATTGAAGAATTAAGTATTATTAAATGTAGTATGTAACTGCTCTTATACACTGAGCATTTTAGACAGCTGCTATTAACATATTAATAGCATTAGTAAAAGCTTGCCTTGGATTTTGCACCCATCACTGCCAGAAGCACAAGGGCTTATGATTATAGAGTACCCTGTGCATTCATCCAGTGGTTCAGGCTGGAAAGGCCTTTTCATGCATTCACATCCACCGAAAGTAGCCCCATGCAACACTAAAATGCTTGGAATGTTGCTTAATTTTCTGCCATTTGCTAATTTAATTGAAATCATTAAACAGTGGACCTTTTGTCCTGCTTGTTATGGGGAGTGCAGTCTCTGTTGCTCCTTGATACACAAAAAGAAGTTTTTTGCAATTGAAAGAAAATAAACTTGAGGTGGCAAGTTTCCCCCAGAGGTGGAATGTATGGCCACAGCTGCCTCATGTACAGCTGATTTTCTCCCACTTGCTGCTAACTTTTTCTTCCTCAAGAACCCTTGGACTTTTTCTTTGTTTCTTCTTTTTGTAGTTTCCTCTAGTGGATCCCATGTTCTTTAGCATAAGTCAGGAGCCAGAGCATGATTGGAAAGGCAATCTCTAGATAAAAAGCAAATGTATTTTGTAAAAAATAAAGTAAAAATAGCACGTTACAGACTAGACTTGATGAATCAGTGAGCAGCCCATTCATGAAGGCCCTGTTATAGCCAAAACAAAGAGCACAGGAAGATTTGTAATGATTGCACATTGCAGATTAACCGGGATGCCGCACTGATTTTGAAGGATAATTGGACATAGGATTTGCTGTACTAGATCTGATGATGGGCCCTGTTCATTTGTTTTTCTTAAAAGGACGTGTCCCTTATGCATCCTAAGAAGGTGAAAGAATCCACCCTAAATAAGCTCATTACCTTTCTTAGTGTGCTGGATGAGAGAAGAATGTTTAATTTGAGAGATTCTTTAATTAAGAATGTTTAGAAAACATCTGTGTTTTCTAACCTTTTTCTTGCTGTTAAATGTTGCTGCTTCCACCCTGTTCCTTTCCACATTGTCTCCTCATATGTTCCCAAATAATGCTTTCTTTTCATCCCCCTACAGGCAGTCACCTTTCTCCTTACTGGCGTTGGCTCTGTTCTCTATTCAGGCCTATGGGGCCCTCACTTCTTTCTCCTTGGGACAGAGTGAAGAGTCTGAAAATGAACTAGGTTGGATCCAGCTGGTATCATTCTCATTTGGTACTGCATGGGTCAAGTATGTTGGCAGAATTTGAGCTTGTTGTTTGCATTTCTAGTGCTGTTCTGGTTCAGAATTCTGCTTATAGCCATTGTGTTTCTGTATTAGGAATTTGTACACATGCTAACAGGTATTATCAGCGCAGTTAAAGATTGAAATATCTTCAATGCTTGTGATTTTTATTTTTTTTTCTCATAAAGAGCCAAATTACGAATGAGTTGGTATTTTCAGAGTTAGGCTTTACAGTTTCTCAAATGCAGAGAGCTGCAGTTCTGAGAATCTAGGCTACCAGCGTTGTTCTGTAAACTGTCCCTGTGTGTTGGTACTGAGTAGCAGCTCTGTGTCAGGTGTAGTGCTTCCATGACAAATAACATAATCCGGTACGTAGACTTGTGCATTTGGAGGTGGTACATCGTAACATTTCTCATCACAAAGCTGTAAGTGGGATGATGATACTCATCATGTCATTTCTGTGTGAAGAATGAAGATAAGGCCCTAAAGGTACAGTTGTCTCAATAGAAACACACAGCTACGATATGAACTTGTTAAAGTGCATCAAAGAGTAAGATCAGGTGTTACAAAGAGTTGCAAAGATACATCTCTGGTGACAGATTGGGTTTGGTTTTAAGCCTGGGAACCAGCAAAGCAGACTTCTACATTCTGAGCATTTATGGATAAAGCATCTTCTGCCTACCCCTCCTACATTTCTGTTTTCGTGCCTTGTACCCCTCAAATTAACTACATGCAAAGGAGGAGTTAAGAACTTGCTATCTTTTTAAAATTTATTAGGTCTGATGTATTTATTTTCATAGGGAATTAAACACTTGGAAATCTTAAGTGTAGGCACATGCAGTGTTGAATTTTGATTAATTATTGAACGAACATAAATTAACAGCTCCTGTTTTGTTTGTATTCTGTACATTTTCATACAAAATGTACATTTTTTTTCCCACAGGCTCCTCAGTATAAAACATGTAATGTGGTTGCCTTATTTGCTAAATGCTTTTCTGCATTTGCTAAACTCTGTGCTTAATATTATTGAAGCAAGAGCCTCAATGATTTCTGTAATCATTGTGGTTTATTAACTTAAAAAGTATTAAATGTGCATGTAGTTTGAGGATTGTGTGGTTCAAAATTCTAAAAATAGATCCCAAACCAGGCATCAATGTAAATGTCTGAATATTTTTAATTGATGTTTTAAGTACAAAAGAAAATGTGCTACAACACGTAACAAATAACACACTAACTCTTCCAGGTTTGGGAATCTTCAGAGAGCACTTTGTATAAATTATATCAACTCAAAGAAAACTTACATCAGGCAGCATGGAAATGTCATGAGACATGGTGAACATTACAGAGAAAACTTGTTCTTTATAGCAGTGAGCTGTTTCCAGAAGTGCACTGCACAAAGTTCTGCTAGGTATTTTTTCCTTCTTGACCATTTGCCAAGAGCAGAAGATGAAGCATTAATGATGGTATGTTACCACACAGGAACGAGAGCTCAGCACTCACCTTTTAATGAACTGCTTCCATGTTTTAAAGGTGCATGTTGTAAGAATGGTCATTTGCTCATGGATAGATGTACTGCACAGCTGTTACAGAACTGCTTTGAGCAACAATACCATGTTTGTTGCTGTTGTGTGGAAGGTTGCATGTGCTTCTCCTTCAGGTGACTACCTGCACTGTTATACATTTTTCACAACTTTCCAGGCTTTCCTTGTGGCCAGATGCTTTTGTTTAATCCTTATGCAGGATTTCCAAGTGATGCATTATTGCTACTGTTTAGTATGTGATTGCTCCTGCTCATAGGACGCTTTATCCATTTGGGCATTGTAGGGTTGTTCACAAGGGCATCTTTAAGAGGGTCCTATTTTCTACAAGAACCAGAACAGCCACCTCTGTGCAGGGCAAATGCATCTTCTTTTCTGTATTAGTATTATTAGTATTATTTATATTGTTATGCCACCTAAGAGAGACAGTCGCAAAGATGATTGAAAGATATTTGGTACTGCACGCAGACCTACAAAACAATTCATCTTGGAAAGAGATATCTTCCGTGGTAGTTTATTTTAAATTCATTATGTATGACCATGTTTGCTTGTTCTGAGAAACATGTAAGTCATCCTGCACTATCTCATGTACATGTGAAGCCATTAAATGAGAGCTTGTAGTTGGAACAAAATGTGCATGTTTCTGACTAACAGAGGGAATGAGGGAAACTTATCTATATAGCCACCAGCAAATAAATTAGAGATTCAAAGAGTGGGAAATTTGGATAATAAATTTGTTGAATGTTTTTGGTGTCACCTCCCTCTCCCACCATTCATGTGCTTTATACCTCTCAAAATGTATGTGTATGGTTTTCACTCATTTCTGAGTGTGCAACATATTGTCTTTGCACACAACTGTGTTTTCAGTAAGGTAATCATTACAGTATTACAGCATGTACTAGGAGAACATACTGGGGTATCAATATTTGTGTTCCAAATAGTGTTTCTACTAGCAAGTGCCTGAAATAGTCGTGAATGACCACGTTAATAAATAATTTTCACCCACTGTGAAGCTGTTCACTCTCCCCACAGAAATCACCAATCTGGCACAAAAATTAAAACATGGATATTTGCTTTAATACAGTACTGACTGTGAACCAAAATGGAACATGATCACGGTAAATGAGATGCCTCACAGGTAAAATGACCTGTGTTGAAAGGTATGTTCCTTAATTTAGCTATGAACGTACATCTAATTTTCACTTATTGTGAGAGGCCCTTTGAGAACACTTGAATTCATGAACATGTCTTTATTCCTGTTTGAAAGAGAGCTAGTCAGTCTTCTTGTTCAGTCTGAAGATGATAAGAAAGAAGGCGTTATGCTCCTAACTTCTATATGCTGACATTTCAAATTAAGCCAAATATCCTGTTTAAAAAGTGTTTTATTGCATTAATTAAGTAGCTTGTTGGAGATGCCACATTGTTGGATACCACTTTAGCAACAACAAATAAATAATGAAGTGCTTGTAAGACGAACAGAAGGAAAGAAAATCTATGGCAAGGGAAAAAGGAAGGGGAAAGAGAGACACTTTATACACTGTCAGCAGAAAAGCAGTGTTGTTTTTTTTTTTTATACCTGCCTGCCATCCATTTCCAAATGACCTGAAGGTTTTTCCGCTGTTCAACCAATGCAGAGTTAAAAGGAAAACAGGTACAATTAGAATTAACAAAGCTGTATTCTTCAGGTTCCCAGTGATGAAGAGAATAAACCTGTAGCCTAGAACAGCATCCTTTTGCATTAGCTTTGGATTTTCCCACGTACCAGTCAGGGTGTGCTAAATTAAGGTAGCGCCTCTTTTTGAAAGCATCAGACAAATTGTAGGCATGGAATAAGATATATGCAGAAGTAGCACATGTGACCACCTGAAAGTATAGACTGATCCAGTATCATTTCTGCTTTACTTAATGAGATGATGTGTTTAAATGAACTTCATTTGATCATGATTTCCCTGTCTTAGGGGCAGAAATCAAGAACTACAATTTCTTCAAAATATTTTGTTAGGGAACAATGAAAATAGCTATCTCTTCATTACTGTGGTGTAGGAGAAAATTGGTTTAGAAAGAATGCTTTTGCAGGACAGGGCTATTTTCAACTAGAGTGCAGATGTTACCTCACCTGAACTTCTGTGGGGTGAGAGAAAAATCCTCATGTACAATGGGAAGGCAGCTGAAGTTCCGTATTTTAACCTCAAGAGTGACCAAGAGAAATAAAGCAGAATGAAAGCACTAAGTGCAAATCAAATGTCAGTGGTCTTGAGCACAGCTTGAATAGCAAGGTTGCTCTTGCAGTAACTATAGCTATCTCATTTAATATGCAATACAAGCAACCCATTTACCTCCTACTTTTGTAGCTTTTGTAGTACTACAAACTTGACATAGGAGCAGCTGAAGTTCATCACGTTTTGGCTCTTTCCTAGCATAAGGCTTTTTGGTAGTAATCACTGTGCAACCTTTGCCTGGTGTTACAGTTTTGAGTACTACAGCAAAGAGCAAAATGAGAGCAAGAGTTGGATTTGGAATCAAGTTTGTAATAAGGAGCTTTCTGCAGCAGAGCTAATCACTAAGCACTGATGATAGCAAAGTACATCTACAGAGCCTTGTCCCAGATGAGTCCTGTGTTAGTTTGTTTCTGTTCAGCCATCTGATGGTATTGCTTTCTAGAAAACAGCATGTTATACTGGCATAATCACTGATTGTAAATAAAAATATCTGAGCTCCTTTAGATAAATATTATATTTGACATACTTATGTAGTATTATGCCACTTGTGAAGCTGAAAGAAATTGCTGCCTGTTAGTGGTAACTTATTTAAAAAAAAACTACACCCAAATAATGAATGTGTTATGTAAGCAGCTTATATGTATTAAAATCAGGCTCTGACTGGAAGTGTGGAAACACTAATCCATACCTTCAGTTTTGCCTTGTAAAATGATTCTCTGGGTACACGGAATCAGGCTGAAATTAAAAACTGTAACCTATGGATGATGCTATGTGATAAATCTGTGCATTTTGAAAAAAAAAAGCAGTCATGTCCCAGCATTTTCTACGGAAATGAAAGGAAAAAGGGTGGCGAGCCCACCTTCATCACTTCAGCTAGGAGCACGTTCATTGAGAACATAGGAGCTAGCTACGCCTTTCACTGCAGTGTTACTAAAAGGCAAAGTTCATCACTGTAATTTTTGAAGCTGAAGTTACTTGCACCCTGTTCGCAGAATATCTGCCACTTGTTTTCCCAAATGTGCTTTCCAGGGTTTCACCAGGCTGTTCATGTTCACGAGAAGTTTGCTGCTCCTAGAGTCCTCCTGGCCTGCTATCAGATAGTCGGTACCTAATTTGAAGGAAAGAAAAAAACACTGAGTAGAAGAAAATAAATGCAGAAATTCTCTACTTCTTAAATCATAAGTGGCATCTTAGCCAGCTTCATGTCGTTTTTAAATGCCAGTTTGTGCACATGCAGTCTTGTGTGTACGCACTCATTCATGTGCACGTTGTCAGTGCTGACTCCTGGAGTAACAGCTGAGATGATTACATGCAGAAATTACAACTACAGGTTGATATAGCTCTGATGGGCTTAGCACTTGCAGACTCACCACCACCATGCAGAGATAACCAGCCTTTGAGTCTCATCTCTCTGACCTTTGTTCTAAGTTGGTGTAACTCTGTGTGCTTCAGTAGCTTTACTCCTGGCTTTTATAGTCGTGAGTAGCAGAATTCAATCTCAATACACATGGAAACTGGTACTGTATTCAGCTTATATTTTCAGCAGCCTACGTGTGAAGGTGTTCAGGGAAGAAGAGTGTTTTAAAGTCCTACACAGAGAATAGGAGAATTTATATCTCTTGTTTTGCATATTTGCCTGCATGCTTTCTGTTTGTTTAATTTTACTTGTTATTGTAAAATTTTGCCCTGGTTGTTGTTTGACCTTAGCTGAGATTAGTACAGCCATCCTGATGGAAGGCAGACAACCTTTTTATATCCACCCACTTAACTGCCAAAGAGCAATTCTTTGGGTTCCATCTGTGGAATGAAACTTTTGGAGTAAAGACAAGAAGGAACTCAGAATTGAAAATCTTGGCAACAGAAAGACCACATTGTTAGTGTTCCTGAGGGAAACAAAACACAATTACTGAAGTGCCTGAGAAGAGGCTGCATGGGGGTTGGCTGGTGAGCCTAAAGGGCCAGATTAATCTCCATGCCCTGTGCAGCTCAGCTGACGTGGCTGTTTAGTATGGCAGCTGTGTATTCTGGTATAGCAGTCCTCTCCTTCTCTGCTAGGAGCAATTCAGATATCTAGGAAATGGAACCACTGAGCATTCACTGCAGCATCAGAGGGATAACTATGCTTGCCGATGGGGCATCTTAATAGATGATCATACAGTCACCGTGTCTCCCAAATGTTTAATGAATTGTTCCTCAGAAATCTTGTTAATATAAAAATACTTGGATTTTTTTTTTTTCTCATAAAAATTATTCAAGTCTCAAATAACCTGGAAGTTCCCATCAGTTCATAAAAAGTGAAACATCTCCAGGGTGACTTCATTTTTTTTCTTTGTATGACTTTGTTATCTGATAAGAAAATGCTTTTTACTGCTTTTTACTCCATCTCTTTGATGGAGATGAATGAGAAGTGTTCAGTAGTTGTAGCCAATGTTCCTAATGAATTGTCACCACTGTTTACAGGAGGAGCAAGCTGTTGGCTTATGTAGCTGCACTGCTCATGCAGAAGCTGTTGAAGGTAGTTTCAGTCTAGCTACTGTCCTGAGTGGATAAAGAAACATCCCATCTATTGCCTTTTATCACATCCGCCACAAGGAAATGTGTTTTTGTGCTTAAGTGTTTAAATCTAGAATTACTTTTTCTGTCCTTTATTTTAGTAGTCAATAGAAAGAAGTGGGTTCACTGTGCCTCATGCTACCTGGAACTGCTGTACCACAGTGGATTATTCCAGCTAGATTTTATCTCCATTACTCTCATACTGTGTAACTTCCTTCTTTTCAGGAGAGTTATTCCTGATTTGCAGTGGTGCAGATGCAGAGGATGAGTCTGATGAGCACCATAACAGCCTGAGTCTAATCCCACAGAATAAGTCTAAAAGCATTTTGTTCTTACCAGGATTGAGAATGGGACAAGTACATCCCCTGTTGGTCCAGGATTCTGGGTAAATGCTTCTGTTGCTCCGAGCAATTTTCACTTTACCGGATTTCAGGACCTTCTTCACTTTCACAACAACTTCTGCATGTGTCCCTTTGTCATGAGCAGACAGGATTCTTGCTTTTATCACTGCCAAGAAACATATCAAGATGGACACCAGCACAGAATTTCTAAATGATTTTTTTTTATGTTGCTAAAAGGTAGAATTTTAACATCTTGGAAGAAGACATGAAAAAATGCTGCAGTTGTACCAGAAGTGTGTTCCAGTGCTTGTGTATTTCAGTCATGGTTCCTTCCAAACGAATTTGGAGAAGGAAAACTGAATTCTTTTTTTGCTGAAGTAACTGATCCTTTCAACGTGGTATTTATCAACTATTCTTTTATGGACTGCTGTCAGACATTTGGAGATCACAGGAAAACAACTGTACGTATACAGAGGAAGGATGTAAAAACGGATCAGCTGCTAATGGTCTGATTTGAAGCACACTGATTCTGTGCCTTATATTTGACAGTTTGAAAACTCATCTTGAATTGGTATAGCTTTAAAACTGGCCTTTCTAAATCTGTGTCCAGTGGGAAGGGACAGTCTGCTCCACAGGAAGGAAGTCAGGAAGTTTCCTGTCAGACATATCACATGGCTGAAATTCCACGATTGCACAACAAACCAGAAAAAGTATTTTTGTTCTGTGGCCTAACATCTGGTTGCCATGATAGATTTCCTTTAATTTAATAGGCTCCCATAACTTTTTGGCAGGGTAGACTCATCCAGCTTGGTCCCATGAGCAGGCTTTGTTGTGTCATGACAGAAGCATATTGAACCTCTAGATGCCGAAGCTTTCCTTTCTTGCTTCATGTGATGGCACGAACCAGGTGTTGATAAATGACAGTATTAAATACAGTCTTGGTAAGCAAGCATTTGAGCCTGCATAATGACTGCAGAAGCAATGGCAGAGGTCAGTCATTCCGCAGACTTAGAGTTCTTGCACTCCTGCTGTAAAAAGCGAAGCTGGAAAGGAGACACCAAGGAGCCTGGCGTAAAATAAGCTATTCACTGATCAGCTCTGGTCTGAAGTTGGACATGTCAATATACAAAAAGCATAGAAGAAATCCTACCTCTTATTTGCCAGTTCTGTAATTTTTCACTCCTATCAGCTAACAGCAAATAACATGCATAAAGGATGCTGTGAAAGTATCATATCTTAAGGGCACTTACCATAAGCGTATTTCATTTGACAGAAGTCAGTGACGCTTCCAAGCACCTTCTCTTTGCACACACACTTCTCTAGCAGAAGAATCACAAAACACAAAAGGTTGGAGAAGAGCCAGGAAATCAGGGAGGGAAGAGAAGCAAATGCTATTTAGTTATAAAGTTTTATGTATGTAACTCCCATAATCTGGATGGACTTGAATAGTCCTTGAGCGTGAGCTCACTTATTTGCAAATCTGCTTCTTGTTAGGTAGTATGATAATTAGTTTGAGATCTAAACAGTGCTGTCAAGTAAAATGAGGCCCTCATGGTGTCTATTATATAGTTAATAAACTGATACTAATAAAGATTTTTATAAGAATCAGATCCAGGCTTAAATCAAGTAAGTAATAATATCCTTTTTTTGATCCTATAAGCTAAGAAATGATGAACCTCACTGTTATTTACATAATATTGCTCTCAGGAAAGTCGAGGTATACAATAGCTGGTGCTATTACTTCTGGGTCTTAAGTCATTGATGCTGGTAAATATGGACTTTCACTTGTGGCAAGCAATACTTTCAAGTATTTCAGCATTTCAAGTATTAAAGGCTCTACCTCATTCTGTAACCTTGCTTACTTGATGACAATATCTGGATACAGTATAATAATTCTTTATTTTCTATCTTGAGCTGCTGTGCGATGAGGCATACCTTATTCCTAACATCACTTTTGTTCCACCCCAGGGGTGGTTTCATTTCAGTGATGGCTGACACAGTCTTTTTACTAACAGTATTTGAAGCGCTGAACAACACATCAAGTGATTGAAGAGAAGCTGTGTAAATTTATAAGCATTATGACAATAATTAAGAAAACAAATGGAGAATATTTTTCACACAATCTTACTTATGATTCATTGGTTTCCAAAACCCAAAGTTGAATAGCAGAACCTTGTTTGGAAAATAACAACATAGGTATAATAACCAGTGACAGCTCAAATCAAGAGACGTTGCCAGCAGAACGAGGACAGAATAGAGGTAGAGATGAGACAGAATCTAAGTCGGTGTGGAAAGAAGAAGGAGCTGGCACTGAGTGAGGTTACTGGATGTTCCCAGACTCTGGGCTGTACCTGGGTGTCTCAGAGCAGAAAATCCCTGCTCGTGGTCATTCCATTTCCACTCATCTTCGCTCTCATTAGTTGGTGTTTGCACAAGGTCAGGGATTCTTCCCCCAATGGGGATGTTAAAGAATGGCTCGTTGTCATAGCTGGAAGGGCACAAAGAAGAGAAGATTTGGTTAGGACACAGAAAAGCAGATTATGGCTGCATCCAAACAGTTAAGCTTTCTCTTTTCAGGTTGGAAGTGTAAGAGCAAAACTTCACACCTTGTAGAGAAACCACAAGATCTAGGCTTTTATTTAGACTTCACCAGTGCTGACTTAGCATTTTTGTTTTTAAATAATTACATTTGGAGCCTTCTTGTCATTTTTTCTTTCTGTTTGGATGGCTGATAGATTTGGGCTTTATTTTTGTTATTTTTTTCTGAATCAAGTAATCTAAGTTAGTGATCACTTGCTGATATCAATAGGAACTGAGGACACTTGAAGGACTGGTGAGACTGCAGCTAGGAAGTCATAGGATTTCTGTACTGAAATTAAAGCATGTTTGGGGTGCGTATACCTGCCCAGTAGACATAAAAGAGAGACCTTGAAACTCATTTTACCTTGGGCACAGAGGAAAGGCAAGCTCTCCAGACTCTTCCATTTATTTCTAAGGCAAACAGATGCATTTAGGAATACTGTACAGACTCCTATGGGGTTGTGGAGTTGCTTCTTACTAGCAAAAGTCATCATTTCAAGATCAGCTTGGATAATACAATGGATTTACAAGTGTGCTAGCCATTCAAATGGAATCCAAGAGACCTTTTATGACTTACAACCACCTTTTCAAATGATATGCATCCCCTGGCCTCTTCCAGCATCTTCCACTTACTGTCATTTTTCATTTAACCTTCATCCCATCTCAAAGTGAACTCAAATGAGGGCTTCTTTACCCATTGAAACAGTTTCCAGTACGTTGGTCGCAGTCTCTGGCACAGTCACAAGGACGACAGCCATTTTCTCCAAAGCCCCAGTAGCCCATGAGACATCTATCGCAGTTGGGGCCCGCCACACCTGGCTTGCAGTAGCAGAATCCTGTCTTGGGGTGGCACCGCCAGCTCCGGCTGAACGTTGCGTTGGCCGAACCCATTGGCTGGCAGGAGCAAGCTATGGAGATATGGTAAGAGGAGACTGAGATTATGTGCCCAGGGCTCATCTGGTTATGTGACATTTTTGCAAAGCTGTTAAATTCCTGCCCTCCTCCTGATGCTCAATGGTTTTATGTCAGAACCGGTAACCTACACTTGCAGTATTTTTTATCTTTTTAACTCATTGAGCACAGCAAGATAAATCCAGCTAGGTCAATTCTTTCCTGTATATAAATCTGGAACATATAGGGTTTTGAAGCAGTAGAAGGAGGCCTCCACTGTGCGTTCATTTTTCAAATGGCTTGCAGAAAGATTCACTAGCATGGATGCAGTCCCAAATGATAGCTATTACCTGCAGTCTTTCCTGGGAACAGACAGCACAGAAAGCTAATGTGTCCTCTGGAGCTAGATGTAGCTTATACAGGTGGTTCAGACAATCTGAAATATTTATTCAGTGTCTGCTTCTACACTATGTACAGAGTTCTAGTGGACGTTTTACCATGCAGTACTGTATACATGTAGGAAAGCTGGTGAAATTTATTATAAATAAACTTGTTAAAAGAAAAGGAAACAGAATGAGAGAGGATCTCTAAACTCACTAGATGTATTTTACATGTAGCTGATGAGCAACATGAGAAAAATACAAGAGATCTTCCTAATGCTATGGTCAGTTTAACACTGGCCTGAGCAACTCAAGACAACTTGGTAGTAAAACAGATACTTACAGTTCCTATGGGACACCACCTTCAAATATAGCAAATTGTCATAGTCCCATGCCACCAGTACATTCCCAGTGTGACAGCATCAGGGAATGAGGGAGAAAATCTTATCTATATCTATTTATAACTCTGGTGGTGCAAAGCGAGGCTCAATTGACTCCTCCTCATTAGGGAATATGTTAACTGAGATGGTTGAGCCTTGTGCCAATGGCTCTCTGTGGGTAAAATACAAGCCACAAACCCACTAATTTTTCCTATTCAAACATGTTTGATTAAAATGAGAACTGAGCTGAACTCCAGGCCTTCGTATTTCAGTTCTTTTTTTATAATAACAAAGAAGCTTGCCCTGTTTTTTCATTGTAGCAGCGTCTTAAGAGGAAATATATCACTACATCATCCCTCTGTAAAAGGGAGGAAATAAAAATCTTGTGGCCAAGACCTGCTTTAATAGAGCTTTTCAATTAAATGCTGGACACCCAAGGTGTTTGGATAGCTTGGATCAGGGGCCAGCCTTCTGGATGCTTATCTGAACCAAACACAATCTCCAAAGCTTTTGAAGTTTGCCCATCATTGCTACTAATCAAACTACTTTTCTTCATGAGCTCACAGATAGTAGAACAAATGAACACTCTGATTCCACACATCATTTTCCAAGGGGGGAGTATATGACTACAAAGAGTGTTAACTGTAGCAAGCACAGATTCACTTTCATCTGCAACTTCACGTTTGATGCTCAAGAAAAAAATATCTTTCAAAAGCATATGAGAAAAAGGGTGAGCAGTTTTGTTTAATAGGCACTTCTCTTATGATCTGCTTACTACGTAGTTATTTTTTTCACCATGCCCTGTGTTCTTTATGCCAATATTTTTAATAATATTATTACACTCTGCTGTAGACAGATCTCAGTCAGTTGTTTTCAAGGGACACTAGCACAATAGCCTAAGGACAAAAAATAAGCGTGCTGTCATGGGCAATGTACTCAACACAATGAGCTGGTTGGCGGATGGCAGCAGGCTCGCCTGTTTGCCACAAAGCAGTCTTGACTTTGGGAGCAAACCCAGGGATTTTGCTGTCAGTTCTGGAGAGCAGGTGTAACAATGAAGTGCTCATTAGCACTGACAGTTTCAAAGGCAAGTTCTGATTTGTTGCTGCTCAACTTGAATTACTTCTGCCCAGATTTTTGTAGGACTGACTGCATCACCCTAAAAAAGGAGACACTTAACTTCCATCCAACACTGAAAATGTAATAGATTTGGGGACAAGAAGCAGAAACACGTGCTTTCATTAGTGCAGACAGGTCTGAGCCACAAGCAGTGAGAGGTTGCCAACATCTGTTTTGGCCCGAATCCAGATTACTGATTTCATCCCGGTATCTCTGCATCTAAAATCTACCTGTGGAGTTTTCACATAAATTTTCTCATATTTCTGCAACTTCTGGATCTGTTTTTATTCTCATCTTCCAGTGTTCAGGTTTTATCAGTTAGGGTCACATGACAGATGGGTAAGTCATTAACATCATTAGCCTACCTGTCACCAACCAAGGCAAGATTCCAATTCAAGATGAGACTTTCACCCATCTTATCCCTTAGGGAAAGTACTGAAGGACAGTGACTACAACACTAACAGGAGCTAATGAGGAGGTAGAAAAAATGCATAGGTGTTTTGTTTTTTTTTTTTTGTTTTGTTTTGTTTTTTTGCTGTTGTTGTTTTTGTTTGCTTTACTTATTTCAGGGCTGCAGTTCAGGAAAAGTAATTCCAAATGAACACGTTCCCCAATTAGAAACAGGGACAGCCTTCTGGTGGATCAGAGAGCAGACCGGATCAATTAATGTACAACACTTTCAGATGAGTTATACAAGTGGCTTGCAAATGCTTTACTCAGTCTGTGTTTATTTAGCATTTCAGCTTGGGTGTGTACATTGTCTGGCTTACAGAGTGTTATGGCCAAAATCGTTGTGCATCTAAGGAAACTCCCAAAATAAGAGCTCACATGTCACATGCTGAAGGGGCAGCTGACGATGGCTGGGTTTTATCTGCTTCTTAGTATCATAGATTTGAAGATAAACCTTACAATTAAAAAAACAGAAAAGCAAACTTCCACAACCTCATCTTTTTACATTTCCCAATATTTAACAAAGAATTTTTCCCTGCTGATTTTTCTTTCTTTCCTCTTGGCAGACCCTAGTTTTCTCTATCTGCCTCCCCGTCTAACAAAACACCAGCCAACATGACAATAGCCTTGTTTGTCAAAGGCATCATCAATTATGTTAGAGACGGTGTGCAGACAGTTCTGGCTCAGAGATGGCTGGTTATATGGGTTCTCCCCTTGACAGCAGTGTAATGCAAAACACTTCACTGTGTATTAGTAGTGGCTGTCAGTCACCATGTATCACAAAGCATCCTCTTGGCTTTTACTCTCACTCCTATCCTAAGATTTTTGTTATCCTACTGGATGTCGTATACTGTAAAAGAGGGAGACAAGGAATAAAAAAAATATGAATTATTCATACACTCAAGTCCTCAATAAATCTGTCTGCTCTCAGCACAGCTGTCTTCCCCATGTTATTAGACACAGATGCAAAAATGTAATATTGGTTGCAAAAATATGATCCCCAGTTACAGGAAAATAGTAAATGCTTCAAGCGACTCAGTGAACCAGGATGTATATCCCCTTAAACTTCTGTCTAGTATTGCATAAGAAACAGCTATGAGTAGACTGGCTGTTTGATGAAAGACCGACAACAACACCTTTTGAATCTGAAATATACACGTGTGCATCTTTTGTGCATACAAACAAATCAGAGCCGTTTTTAAAGCATGTCAGATGTGGGGATTGACTCAGCCAATGGTGCTTCTTAAATGAAGGCAGTAAGACAGACAGCTGTGTGTGTGGTCAGAGCTGATTAAAACAGACTGAACCAAGATGCGATCAGGCCTTTGTGATATTACAATTAAAAGTTCACTGCCTCTGCTCAGAAGTAAAAGGAAGAGCAGCAGACCTTTTCAGAGTGTGTGCATGTGCATCTGGCTACATTTTAATTTTCAACCCTTGTGCTTGGAGGAAAAAGCTTGTTTTCCTGGGCAGCCTTTCTAATGGGTCTACATGCTTGCATTTTATTTAAGCTAAGCAAAGTGCGAGTACAAAAGATGGTGCCATTTCAGAAGGATCCTTTAAGCCTCCAAATAAGCCACAGGAAAGAGCCAAGGATACAGCAGCTTTTCTAATCATTGGTTAGGAAACGATTAGGCTTCTGAGTCAAAGCTCTCCTACAAATCTATATTCAAACCACTTAATCCCGTGTTGTCACCCCCAGTAACAAGCAGGTGTGAGCTTTGCTCTGGTACTCTTCTCATGCCTTTCTTTTTCTTATTCTTTCTTTTAACTTTTCTTAATAAATCTAAACAGTGTCAAAACAAGGCTCTGTACATGACCTGGCTCTCATTCACCTCCAGCTGCTAGGAAGAAGGGAAGCAAAGAGATCAGAGGCAGGCTATCTCTGCAGATGAAAAGGAATAACAGATTCACACTTAGATGTCAAATTTCAACCTATTATTATTTTTTTTTTCTCCAAGGGAATGTCTTTGCAGTCTCGCATTGGAGGGTCAGCAAAGGGTGGTTTGGATAGTGCCAGGACATCCAATTGTTATACAACTTTTTTTTTTTCCTAGCAGTGATTAAGAGACAATGCTGTTCATTATTATGACTAATGCTTAAAGACTCTTTCTGGGCCTGGGCAGCGTCCTGTTAACTTTCTGGGAGCCTGAGGGGGCTGTCACAGCTGAACCTAGACTTTGCTCTGGATGGCAGAGCACTCTTCAAGCGTGCTTTCTCAAAGGGATTAGCACAGCATTTCATTCAGCTTTTTCATCAGATTTCCTTTCCCAGCTCAGTATCCACTGTACACATGGGTCAAGTTTTGATCTCCCATGGAGATTTTTCTCTTCTGACTTCAAAATTAGAAGCTGAGAACCAGGCAAAAATCATCCATTCACTCTGCTGTTTGCAGTTTATTATTGCTTTTCAGCTCTTGCCCAGCATGTGAGTTACTGACTATTGTAAGCCTAGGACTTTTTGTGTGGTTTTCTCAAACTGAGATGATGGCTTGGAAGTGGTACATGTAAATCCTGACAAATGTTATGGTTCAGAATTGGCAGTTCTTCTGTTTATGATCGGTAGGCCAAAGTTTGAGGGAAATGTACCTGTTCTGATTGTCATCTTTCATACATATTAACAAGGTTAAAACAAAACAAAACAAAACAAAATGTAACAAGAGTTTTTAGGGTCACACAGGCTAAACAATTTGCTCACCCAGATTAAGCTTAATAGCAGTGCAGGTTTTGCAACATAAAGGATGGAGAAGAGAGCCTCTGTTACAAACTGCATGAAGTCTATACTAGGCTTAAGGAGCTGATGTTAGTAGTCCTGGAGGTGAAATCTCCCCTCTATCAAATTAAGTCTGTTCTAACCCAAACAGTTGTGCCTGTCTACACTGATGTTTCCATGTTTTCTGTCACTGATGCCCCATTTGTTTCTATACAAGTACAAGCATTGTGCACATACAGTCTACTGTAAAACTAATATTATCTAGAGTGAACTACATGCCCTTATACCTGAATATCACAAGCATTCATGTATGACTTTACGTGCCTGTGAAGGAGTTCCACTGACTTAAGTTATGTACAGATAAGGTCACACTTACTTATTGGTAATAATGCTGAATCAAACCTGTTAGATTCATGTCAACCAGTGGAAACTCTCTAGTGCAGGCTAATGGTCCAGAATGCCTCTAAAGTTAGGGAAAATAAATAGATACCCTTTAGAGGGCAATTCACCTTGTCTATCATAGACATCAGTGTTAAAACACAATAAATCATCCCATAGATATCCTACTGCTTCTTCACTGACTGTACACAGAATCTGGAAAAGACATTTAAATTTCAGGATGGCAGCAATCTAGGCTTAAGTGCACACAATTACATTTGAGGTCCTGCTGCTGGTGGCAGCACCCTCCCAGGTGAAATGAATGCTATTGTGGCTGACTGGCATGATCGTAATAAAGTTCTTTTAACAAGGTGAATTTCTGCTTATCCATCTGAACAGTTTTTCTTTTGCTATGCAGAGTATTGGCAGGAGGCACTGAGAGGCTTGTAACCAGACCACAAAAGATGCAGAGGTAGAATCAAGGTCTGATTTCACCCAGGCAGAACATTCTAGGGTTTCCCACACAGGTAAGCTGTATTTTCAAATGTTTTTTTCCTCTCTGCTTTTCTCCTGTGCTCCTTGACTTTAGTGGTTATGTAATATTACACGTGTTGCTCGTTTCTATATTATCACCCTGGTATTAAACACAAGCACTTCATACACAAATTCTTGCAGGTACTATAAGACTGAAAACTAATTTGGCATAAAATTCTGTTCTCACTTCTGAGCAAATCTGTTCAGAATAAAAACTGGACTGGAGAAAGGCCATCATAACACTACAGCATACAGGGTAAATTAGCTCATCCCAACACTGTCTGTTGGTCAGTGTTGGTTGGAAATCATGAAATCAAAGAGAAAGGGTTGTGTGGAAGTCTGAGCTAGGTAGAAAGATATTCCAGTGGAATGAATACTAATGTGCAGAAATATAGGATGTGTTGTGCATGCTTTAAGCAGTATCACAGGCCATTAGGCTCAAGGGAGAGGACTTTTTGTATCCTTAGTGCTTAAGAGAAATCTTGATGAAGACCAAACACGCATAAGTGACAGAAGCTGATGTTCCCAGTGTTGGCAACTGATGTCTGAGTTGGAGGGAAGGGAGACTACCCGAAGGAAGAAATGAATTCATGTGTATTCTTGGATATAGCAACTTCCAAATAAATACCAGATGGAATAAGAAGTGTGAAATTTGGCGGGATACCCAGGAAACATCTAGACTAAGAGAGATTTGGGCTCATTATGGCTATGTTCCAGACTGGCTGGATGCAAACTACCTTGATCCAGAGGTTACACACTCATGTTAGTGCCTGAGTTACTTCCTAACACATCCTGCTGAAGTGTTAATGAGGCAATTAATTTGGGCAGAGCACCCAAGGTACTGCTGTAGAATTCAGAGATAAATCTAAAAACTCTGATTCATCTGTTCCCATAGGGGTGTGCATCCCTGCAGTCATTATTGTATACACTGGTGTTCACAGATATTGCACAATCAAATGGAATTTAAGAATATCTTTCACATAGGCACACCATCCACTGTCTTAAGAGGGATACAGACGTAGTTAAATAAAACATGCTTCAAATGCAAACCAGAATCACATTATTTTAAATGCAAGCACAAGAATACCATTCATCAGAATGTAATGCATCAGTGAACTATAGCAGTTATCATAAAAATTGTGATACCATTGAGGGCTAGACACAGAAGATCAGGAAAATGACTTTTGATCAGAAAACTATGGTCTAGAAATAAAAAACCAAACAGTAATACCACTAATTGCTTCCATAGAAGTTGATTCTTTTAACAAGCTTCCACCATTCACTTATCTTCGCTGAAGGAACAGAACCACTTACGTTTGCAGACCTCTGCAGAAGACATGGGTTTCCCTCTATCTCTGTAATACCCCGGTTTGCACCTCTGACACCGATGTCCCTCTGTGTTATGCTTGCAGTTGTCACAGACTCCACCACTGCGTTTCCCTGATGCCAGCCAAACACTCAGGTCAAAATGGCAGCTGTCAGCATGGTTGTGACAGCGACACTCTGATGGGAAACACAGAGATGTACTTCAGGCTTATCTAACAGGCACAACAAATGATACTGTTCAAATAGTATAATTTCCCTACTGTGAATCATATATCTGAATGTAGCACATATTCTTTGCTTGCAATCTTTGATATTTCTTTAAAAAAGAAATCACAATTCCAACCCAAACAACACCCAACCAAGAAGTTTAGCTGCCACATCTTATAGTAAGACAAGCCAATCTGATGGTATCGTAAGTTTTATAAAAAGCCTCAGAACACTACAATTTATGCAGTTACAGCCAGAAGACTGCCTGCTGGTGGAGCAAGTGCTCACCCTGACAGCCTGGATCATTAAGCTCTCTCCCACTTACTTTTGCATTCATTTGGTGCCCCAGTTTTTCCATCTCCTGGCTTCCAAGGCTGATCATTGTATAGTGCTGCACATTTCTCACAGTGGTCCCCTGCTGTATTGTGTCTACACACACACTTCCCATGGACCTGTTGGGGAAAGAATACATTCAAATAGCAACAGGCATTAATGTGGTGAGTATGCCCTACAGCCTCATGAGGCAGAGGGACTTCTGCACTGGTCTCCCACAGCTGGGAGCACTATTAAGAGACCAGCAGAGCGTGGAGCTCACCTGTAGTGTTATCACATAGCAGTAATGAAAAGGCACAGTTTGGACTACGTAAAAAAGCACGTGCCTTAAAGTGTGTACTATGGGCCTCAATGTGGTGCAGAAGGTTCTGTAATCCTGAGCTGCTTCCAAGAGGTGCAGACACTTGTACTGAGAGTTGCAAACAAAAATCCAGAACCAGACTGTCCCTCCTGTGCACTGTGGAGGATGCATAGCACTGTAACCACCCTCCATCACAGCTCTGCCACTGCACAGTACACAAAAAGCAGAGGCTGAGATTTCATTTTGACTGTGGTGTGAATTGAATGTAATCCTTTAATCTCACCATTAATGTGAGTTACGCTTCTCCATGGTCTTTCCTGAACGTCAGACTTCCCCTTTGCCGTCCACCCCCAACCCCACCCCATATAGCAGGTAGCTTGGGATGAAGACAGAAATGCTCAAAAGAACCTTTGCATGAATGCTCTCCCCTGCCCCCAAAGCCATCTCCCTGCAGCAATTTGCTCCACGCTGCCCTGGTTTTTAATCCTACCAGACCAGATATGTCATGTAGCTAGCAAAGGGAATAGGCTGCAGCTGATGCCATTGCCCCTCTATGGCCAGCTGGCAGATTTGCTGCTGCACAGAGCGGTTGGCTGCTTCCTCACGGAAGACTGAGCACAGACTTCAGGGTATGCATTTCTGTCAGGGCTCAACACCAGTAAACCTCAGGAGGATACAGCTTGTAGCACATGATGTGATGCCTCTCCAGACCTTTGTCCGGGAAGGTCATCCATGTTCAAAGCCCTAAATAGGATGACAAATTAGAAACAAACAATAATACCAATACACAACAGTACTGGGCTTCTCCCTGTTTGAGTTTGGTTCTCCAGACTTTCTAGTTCCCCCCCATGGACAAAGGGATTTAACAGTAATGATTCCTTTTCAGAAGCCACAGAATAGGGAAAAGGACCAGGATTGGAGAAAAAGTAAACCTGACCCAGAACTATTTGGGGACACTGTTTTTTAGTCTCCATGAACTACGGACTATCAGAACTTTACAACTCATTCCAAAATGGACTAGGACCCAAAATTTTAGATCCAATTTTAATTTAAGAAAAAATGACAAATTTTGTAATGAAATACACTGTAAATTCACTTAAAAAAAGAGAGAGAGAAATAGGTATACATAATAAACATTTATTCTATATGAAAAAGGAAAAAAAAAAGCATGAGAGAAATAGAGATTGTACAGCTGGGAAATGGCAGAATTACACTATGCAATCTTGTTTTAGCCTTGAATGACATGATCAAATATTCATTATTCCACAGGACCCTGTGCTTACAGTGCACAGCACAGATGGTGTGAACACTCATGAACAATTATTCAGAGCAAATAGGAAAGTTAAGTAAGGAAGAATCAAGTTGTTCTTTGAAAGTAAGTACATGTCCATTGTCCACTGGTTTGTTTTGCTGCAAGTTGTAGTTTGTGGAGGCTGTCTAGGGGTGACATGCACAAAGGAAGCCTGTTGCTGATGATCCCTACACTGAATAGTTTACCAAGCACATGTGGAAGGATGGCTGGTTTAGGCTAAATGCTAGAAAAGCCAAGCAGACAGCAGACAGGAGAGCCTGAGAAGGGAGAATAGATGAACTGGTACGGATGTTAGTCTTTTCTGTTTGTTTTAAAGGAGTTATTAGGTCTGAGAAATATCCTTTTTAGTATAGATTTAAAAAACAAACAAACAAACAGAAAAGAAAGCACTGATTGGCACCAGGAAAATAATAGAGGATAATGAAAAAGAAAGCAGATCTGCCAATTATCTGGGGATAGGTGTCTCATGGAAGATGTTTAGTCAATGAGAATCATTTAGGAGACTACATTCTTAAGAGAAAATAGCTAAGAGGAGAGTGCAATAGGAGGTGACACTAAAATACAGAAATGGGATCAAAAGAGGAGAGAAAAACAAGTAGAAAGCTGAGTTGTTTCTCAGACAAGAAAGGTGATTCATGGATCTAAGTGGCTATGACTAAAAGACTAGTTAATGGAAGAGAAATCAAGCTGTGAAGAGACCTCTTAAACTTAAGCAAGAGGTGAAATAAGGATAGAAGAGGAAGCAGTAAGAAACAAGAGAAACAATTTGTTCTTTTAGTGAAGAAGAGATAGGAAAGGTAGCCAGCGACTGAAGTCCAGGAAGGAACAAGAATGATATGTAGGAAAATGTCAGATAAAATAGGAAATGGGATATCTGCTCAGGGAAAGAAGAATGTGAGAATCAGACTCAACACCACAACTGCAGGCATGTCTCTCACTGTGATTCCCTGCTGAAGTAAGCTATCAGCTCTCAGGTGAGCTCACAAAGCAGGTTGTGCTCTCTGCGCTACACGAGACCTCAGGATCTCACTGGAATTCAAAGACTATCAAATCATAGTAGAGAGAACAAAGAAATACAGATTTAGGGTGTACTACACTTGTGTTTTAATTTGTCCTAGAAAGCAGGGTTGAAGTCCAAGTCGATAATGATGATTGGATGATTATCAAAGAAAAGCAAAGACATGAAGGGATGTGGAACTACAGGGTGACCATAGCAGAGACTGTGCTCTCACTGAGCACAGTGTGGGTAGCAGGGAGCTGGCATCAGGGTCCACTGACAGCCCCAGACACATCAAGATCAAGGTAACCAGGGCTATTCAGGAGCAGCAAGAGACAGGCCTAGAAATAAACCCACAACATTAAGCTGAAGCTTGATTAAGTTATTTCAGGGATTTACATGGCTACATATAAATGTATTGGTACAGCAGGTGAAGGATTAAGATCCAAGAGATTTGCATCTCACATATCTAATATTTTAGTTTAATATTCAACATGGGACACCACATTACTCAACACTTACTGATCCTTAGATATGAAAATACTTAAGCCTGTATGGGCTTTTCCACAGTGTTCATAGCTGCAAAAATTTAGCACTTGAGAAATAATACAGAATTTGTTTTCCTAACACCTCTCTTCATCTGCTTCCCCACATTATTGTGCTAACTCCAGTTGTCTCCAAGGATGGTTCCCATTTCTCAAAGTGTCATTCTGTTAAGAATTGTTGGTCTGACCAGTTTGCTTGAAGCTGAGTGGTACCTTCCAAAACTGTGCAAATGGATCAGGGAAATAGGTGCACTCACAGACAGGCAGTCTGTGTGATCATACAAACTACTGCATTTCATAAAACCAGTCTGAAATACTGTGTGCTCAACCTGTAATGGCTTGTGTTCTTGTAGTCCTGCTTTCAGAATGCTTTCAGCCAAGGTTACTCATGTCACTAATGCATGTGATAAGCTTCAAAAATGAAAACTGTAGCATTCAATCCTAATATCCTGCCTGCATCAAGCCTCCATTTTTCTAACCAGTTTTTGGAAAAGTTCAAAGTTGCTGATATATTGGCAGTCTAAGGATATTATCAATCCAGGAAAGGAACTCAAATGTTACACTATGTTTAAGGCACCATCATTAGATTTAGCAGCCACTTGAAAGCAAATTCTCCTTTTGTGTCTTGGTGTAGCAGCTGTATTTTTAGACAGCGATTTCATGATATAAAATCTTTGGGGGCATTCACAATTTAAAACATTCTGCTTTCCTTACTACTCCTTTCTTTGTTACCACTTTTTGCATCATGCCCTGAGTCATGTGTAAACTGGACTGTGGAACTAAATCATATTTTTTTTAAAGTTGTTTTGTTTTTTTTTTTTTCTTTTACCTTGGCAATAATATTTTTAATCTGGTTTAATTCCCTGATCTGACTCACAGCACAGTTGTGCTGTTACAACAGTCTGGTATTGCTGCCAAAGGCTTTGATTTGTACATTTACCACCTGAGCAGCTTGAGTCATGACACAGAGGACGTTATGGCTTCATGGATTTTAATGCCAGAATGATCAGTTCCAATCTTTTAGATCAACCTGCTACACAAAGCCATGAATTTCATCCATATAGTTTTTCCACGGAGCTCAATAACATCTGGTTGATTTATTGTGAATAGTGTAGAACCATATCCTGCTTTTGTACAATGGTTTAAAAATGATATCTGGCCATCTTTGTTTACAAAAATTATTTCACCTGAATTCTGCTCTTCAGGTGAGAAAAGAAGTAGAAATGTTCCATCTCTGTAATACCTTTTTTTAAAATTATTTTTTAAACTCTGTTCAGCCTAAAATAATACCTCAAGCTTCTTGCTTTCTGATTGCCCCCTTAGTTTCTTCTACCTTTTGTCCTTTCTCTAAACGTTGTGGTTGTTGCTCTTTCTCCTGAGCTATTCTCAGTCTATTTTATTTTTTTCCTAATGAATGAAGGTTAAATTTGGAAGCCTTCCAGAACAGAGCAACTGTTGCTGATTCGGAGAAAATGTTTGTCTTTGGGCTCTGTATTCACTTTGTAATGTCGCCAGAACAATTTTGGATACAGCAGTTTGCAATGACATCAGAGGCTGGTCCCTTACCTGCTTTTAGCAAAACAGCCTTTTCTGGGTCATTTTGAATGGCTAAATACAAAACAGTGCATCCTTCCCCTCTGTTTATCTCACAGCTCAAATGGGTTCCATTGTATTTCCAGATGGTGTGATGTATCTGTGCAGATTTATAATAAATTCTTCTCTATCAGGGCCTGAAGAGATGCAGCTTTTAGGAGGCCAAATAAAATAAATAATACTTCAAGTTTGTCAAGTTCTCAAAGACTTAAAAAAAAAAAATAGGTGGCTTGGGAGTAAGTCCCAGATTACAGTGCTTGCTATGGGTAGGTTGATAGTTCAAATTCCTGCTCTAATCAGGAATGAAAAAAGCCATTATTTTCCTATGTCACTTGGTTTCTGGGGAAAGGTCTAATAAGTGCATGTGTCTG